ATTTTCTGTGAATTATCCGTAGATACATGACTGAAGATGACAGAAAGCTGAGGTGAATATTTATTAAAACTCTATTATAACAATACTACACATTTTGTATTGTCTCGAAAAGATTCGGCATGCAGTATGGGTCCCCACTGCTAACAATGCCACATTTGCATATGCAACAGTGCACCGACCCACCTTTGTGAAGAGACGTGCAGAGAACGACGACGACCAGACTGAGCCAGTTCATGGCCGGTCCGCGGCTCCTCCGCTGTCCCAGTGTAAAATCTTGATCTGTCTGTCTTACAAAGATGACGATGGCAACACCTTTACTGGTGATTGTCTGAGCTTCGGGCTGTCCACTCACTGTCTCTCAACCACATCAAATCTGGGAGTCAGGAATTCAGAGAATCTTACAGACGGCGTCCAAAGGACAACAGTGCTCAAAACCTTCCTCTTGTCACAGCATCGACCGCGAGCCTTTTTAGTCAGTCTCTAGGTCAGCACCAAATTACTCATCCTACGGATAGGTGCAGACAGCTCACGTTTGGATCTTACATCCAACCCAAGCGGGAGGTTCTTTCACAGAGGTCACTACCCAAAAACAGGGGCTGGCGAGTCACACTCGCGTGTCTGCCTTCCGCGGGTGGCTCAAGTACGGAAACGCCGACCACCTCAGTTAAAACACAAATCTCACGGTGCCTGACCTGGCTTCAGACAGGTCACTGTTTCAGTTCTGTCTGATCTTCTCCGTAGCTGTCTGACGCGTCCAGCTTTGTCCCAGCTCCACAGCACCCTCACGTGCACCACCTCGCCGCGCCGCTGCCGCCGGCCGACTGACGACAGTCGCTGAGTGCCGGCTGGAGCCGCCGAGACGACCGTGCAGCTCCCGCCCGCCGGTCCCCCGGGGCCGCCCTCGGCCCGCTCGAGCGTCGGTGTTATCCAGCCGCCCTCACACGCAGACGGACACCTCGAATGCGCACAGCAGGAGAAACCGTATAAGATCGCCAAACGTCGGATCAAGGTACGATGAGGCGTGACACAATGTTGCGGCGAGGTCGTCTGAGAATATAAGTCGACATTCCAGCTTACGTCACATGGATCTTGTTACTGCTAATGCCGATTGTCGAAGGTGGACGGCAAGCAAAAAAAGTAGCAGCCAGTGATTTTGTGTATCACCAAGCGAGGAGGATGAATTTTCTTTCATCACTGACTGCGCTTAATACTTAACCCGCGCATGACTGTGGTAATTTCCATAACGCGAGTGACTGAGGGGGGCTCTCCAGAGCCCCCCACCCCCCTCCTATCTCCATAACTACTGGGCCGATCGTCATAATTCAAACGGTGTCTGATAGCCCTGGAAAAACTGTCGAACGAAACCTATTTTCATTGACCTCGAGGTCACCGATGACGTCACAGGTCAGGTCAAAGCAAAAATTATCGGCATTTTTGCTTGTTTACATAGGTACAATTTAGGCTCTGGCCGCCGGCTGACAAGTCCGATCAGGCTCATTTTTGGCTTAGGCACTCCTTGATATATATGTCTTAGATACCCTGAGGGTACCAAACTTTTACTTCTAATTTTTCAGGTCAAGGCCAGGTCATCCTAGGTCACGAAAATTGTATATCATGTGTCGGTTACGTGACGAATGTTTTATGGTCCATTTTACACGTTGATTTCGAAAATAATGTCGTCTGTGTCATTTGAGGTCATCTTCAGCTGAATTTAGCCGGAGGTCAGGTCAATTTCAGGTCAGAAAAGGTCAAATTTTGAAAATGAAATTTTTTCAACAAAAAAGGTACTTACCTATCCGATGCATTTTGAGCTCAGGAACACGAAAGCGCCATTTATATTGCTGAACGATGTCAAAAACTTACTGAAAAATGGTTTTGAAAAATATATAATTGTAAAACTTTGATAATAATGCAAATAACTTGGCTATTTTTGAAGATATTGGGCTAAAGCTTGCTAGAGTAGTTCATCAGTGTGTGTTCTATCACATATATTTCGGTTTTTGCGAAAAATCAAATAATTTTTGATGAAATCAGAAAATATATTTTTTGGTATTGTAAAAATATTTTTTTTTTAATTTACAAAATTTCGAAAATTTGAGAGAGCAATTTGATAGCTAAGTGTATTTGTAGTTCACTGAAGCAAATGAATTGGATCTAGCTTTAAAACTAAGCTCTTGAGAGCGTTTGCCGTAATTCAATATTTCGCATCAAAATCGGCCGACATGACGTCACTCTGACATCGTTTCCGGCCAAACTATGGCAGCTAGAACGTTCAAATTTTAACACAAGGTGTCACATTGATGCCGCTAAGGGTACTGCAAGTTTCGTGTTGATCAGTGAAAGGATTTAGAAAATATTGCCGAAAAACGGGAGGAGGGCTCTGTAGAGCCCCCCCCCCCCCCCCCCAGTCATGCGCGGGTTAATTCGTCAGCTCGTCAGGTAGGTCTCTGGTCTTTGAACCGAACAATTCTTTTATCAATCGTGGTTTCATTTCATTCGCACCCAAAGTAATGTTGGGAATATAAAATCCCATAAAGTGGGATGTGCGGTGGCTAAGTGCGCCAGTATTTTAAATTACAGCTGCTCGATTCATTTAAATAAGTCATATATTCGCATAGCCGTCGATTTGCGGCCGTGGAGCTGGTGGCCAGAAGCGGCCATTTATCACTGCGGCCTTCGTCGCCTATCTGAAATGACCACGGCACTGAACGTTCAAAATTCATTTGAGGACAACTCAAATGGGAGAGTGGACGGAAAAGTATATTTTCCGCTGTTTCGCAGCAACGTTGTGCTGTGTATAGGTAAATGTAAGGCATGCCTTATGCAATTTGTCGTTGTGAAGACCAAAGCGATATTGTCGTTTTCTATCCTATTTATCCAATATCCATGTTGGATAAAATATATTTGGCACCTACACGAAGCCGTTTGCAACAATGATGTGTTCCCGAGGTCTATGTAAATCAGATTCCCTTCCCCACGCATTTATGTGTCCCTCTGCCACCATCGTGCCACCATCGTGTTTCGTTTCACCATCGTCTGCCACCATCGTGTTTCATTTCAAAATTATTCCGCTGTCTGCCGATGGGATGCCCTCCGCCTCGACACACCCGGGACGGAAGTGTTTCCCGCCCTGGTTATGTTTCATGCTCCCACCTCAATCTGCCCCAGTGATGTATTCCCCACCTCAATTCATCCTGTGATGTGTTCCCTTTTTTGCCGTGCACTGCCTCTTGCAGTGATGCGTTCTTTGGTCCCTGCCGTCTGCCCCGGTCTCCGACTGCGTTTCCCACCCGAATCCACCGCCACATCGATGTCTTCCCTGCCGTCTGCGGCCTGTCTATGTATAGTCGCTTCCCTCTTCCAGCAGTGATGCGTTGCCTGGTTCTTGCCGTCCGCCCCGGTGATGCTCCCCGCCTGGCTCTGTCCTCATTGACATGTTCCCAGCTTCAATCTGTCCCAGTGCAATGTGTGCTCCCTGCCTTCCGGCGTGGTTATGCTCCCCGCCCTCAGCCATGATATGTTTCCTGGTCCCTGCCGTCTGTCCCCGGCGGTGCTCCCCGCCTGGATACGTTCCAGTGATGTGTTATCTGCCTGTAGCCCCCCCCCCCTCCCCAGTGATGTGCTCCCCGCCTTGGCCTGTCCCTGCCGTGATGTGTTCCCTGGTCCATCTGCTGTAAAGATGTGTTCTCCGCCTGGATCCACCCCCAGCGATGTGCTCCCCGCTTCCAGCAGTGATGGGGGCCCGCAACCCCCCATCGATGTGTTCCCCACCGTGCGCCACGTGCCCACTGTCTCGGCGCCAGTGAGCGACGAGCGCGCCTGTATCGACGTCGGTCGGAGCTGTGGTAAACGGATTACCGCCCGGTATACGCGGCCCGGGCGATACATCGATGGGCCGCAATGCCGGCATGGCGCAGAGCACCGTTAGAGGAATTACCGAGCGCCTCTCCGCTCTGCAGCAAACAAATGGAAGACGGAGTGGGGACAGAGCTGGATGGGGACAGAACGGCGCGGATGTTATTTGTTATAATACAGAAGATCCAGGCATTGGCCAAAAATGTCCAAAATCAAATTTAATTATCCCATTTTCATTTCCATCTTCATCACACAAGTGTCATACCTACAGGATCGGCGACGCACGTCGAAATGCGACCCATTTCAGGGCGTCGTTTAATTTAGGGGCCAACTTAATCAAAAATACGACTTCTAACTAGGCACTGCACCTGTTTTTCCGCCCTTCTGTTGACACCCAGCGGTGTTGGTCTCGTTTCTACAACGCGCTGCTGTTCAAACAAGCCTGTTGACAGTTGCTAGTTCCTCCAATTGACAGTTGTCACCAGACGCCGTTCGCACCGTTCCGTGCCCGCTCGCCACTCGTCCAAAACAAGGGCCGCTAACTTCGGAATCGCCTCGCGCGCCGGCGATGGACCGTCTATAATTGAATGAGTCCGCGTCGCGTTCGCACTGGTCCTTCTCGAAGTTCTGGCAGCAGATGAGCAGTGGAGAGGGATTAGGCGATGAAGGAGCAAGCCGTCTTCAGCTTGTTTACGAGAAAATCGGGTAGTAAAAAATCGACGGCAAAATCAGTAGGGCACCTTTCAGGCGACGAGCTTGATTTCGCTACCATTATCTTTGTGTCATGTTTGTGGGACTTCGATCACAAAAAAAATATTTGCCTCTGGTAATTTTGGAACGCTGTCAAGCATGTTGTGGCTTCAAAGTTCAAGATTTTGAACAGGCAATCGCCCTATTACCTATACCTAGCCCGTTATCGGCAGCATCATATTATCTCATACGGTACAATATACGTAATTTTCTACAATCTTCAACAGTCTAGTCCTGATCCAAGTCAAAAAGGTCAGAATTCAACATTTATCGGCAGGATGCTGCTATACTTCACCGCGTTTTGGGTATTCACAAGGAAAGAGCGAATGATTAAGGAAATCCCAGTGCAGTGCACGCAAGAACGCCCCTCCGTAGGTATATTTTATGAGACAGGAAAACATCCGTATCTGTATTTTCTGTACAAACATGTCGCAGTTAAAAAGAGGACCATGCACATTTCTGACAAACGTACCACTAAGTGGAAGTGCAGTGGAGCCCACCGCGCCTTTGATCACACGGTTTACGGAACACAGATCCGTCGTTGAACACACCTCGTCGCATGACTAGAGCAATGATGATGAGACGATGCGAATGCACAAGATATAAGAGGAGCGCAGGCCATGACCGCTGGGTTTAGATGGCCCGTTCCCCCTCGCGTGCACGTGCACAGAAGGAAGGGCGGACATTGGGTATAACAAACCCAAGCGTCCCTCCGAGAAAGGACTGGTTGATGTAGGGGCGAATAATGATGTGCGTTCATTTTACAAACACAAATGCATTTTCTCAGGTATACATACGCATTCACCTCACACTATTCGAAACGTCATGAGCTTCACAGACCCCGCATGCACATTTAAAACCAGATTTGTTAGCATTCGTTACTTCATACAGTTCATGCTCAGAGCACTCGTCATGACATTGCGTTTGATAATCACAAACGAACTCACAGAACAGCGTAACGATATCCCGTTCCGCACTGTTCATTTCAAATGTGTGCATCTGTGCACTGTCCAGTGTCCACTGTTACTTTGCACAACACACTTGTCCTCACATATCGTTAGACGCTTGACATCGATTACCAACGCGGCACGAATTCCCACTTCTGCTGAGAAGATGAGTCCCACCGTAGCCGCATCAGTAAGTTGAAACTGACGCTCGGACGGTCGCCAGCGCAATTCACGGTGCTTTGCCAGTCTGCCACTGCCACTTCGGGCCACTATGGTCACCAAGTGACGGGCGTCTGTGTCACCCCCACCGGTGACAGACGGTCACTGGGTATGATCCGCGATATCACAGCCGAGCCACTCGCTCAGATGGGTGGCGAGACGACGGGAAGGTCGGGATGGGAAGAGCAGCGGTGACAGGTCAAAGGTCAGGGTCTAGGGAAGACTGACATAAAATTCAGTGAACGGGGGTCAGCACGAGCTTTGAAAAGATGGATTATCATGAACAAATGAACGTGGCAGCATCAATGTTAATAAGACAAAACGCAAGATGGAATCAGGATAGGGTGCGCTACGCCAGAGTCCCCGCTGTTCCAGAGGTCCGCCACACAAGGAGTTGTCGTTGCCCCAGGGACGGGTTCACTATACAGTCCCAGTCCCAGGGGTTCGCTACACCAGGTGTCCCCGCTGCTCGAGGGGCGGTGTCTCCGTGATGACTGTCGGCGGCGGGCTGGCCAGCCTGGAGCACTGCCGGCTGAAGCTGGACAGGGGCGCCGCGGCGGTGGCGGCGGCTGCCCTCCGCTGGTGCGGCAGCGTCGAGTAGTGGCGGCCGGGACCGGCCGGCGGCTCCGGCGGAAAGTAGCCTGAGCCGGGCCCGCTCGAGTGCAGCAGGTCCGGTGTGGGTGCGTCTAGAGCCGATGGACGGAAGTGCGGCGCTCTTGGCGGCTGCGTCACGTACGTCGTGTTCAGCTTGCTGCTCATCGGCTCGACACCAGCACCTGGAAACGAGCGGCACGTCCATAAAGTTCTTACTCTCTGAAGTCTAAACCAATTCCGAGCATGATCCAGGAGCTGACAACATGACGCAAAACGAAACAACTGCAGTGGCGCTTCAATTTGATGTGCCAAGCTGTAACATTATTATGTGAAACTGAAAGGCCATCGGCAATCACACAGCTGTCAGATGCATACGCATACCAGTAGCTCTATGCTAACACATTATAAACTACACTACATCAGTAACCCCGATCCCGCCCACACCCCTTTCTCCTCCCCCCCCCCCCCCCCCTCCTTCGCCGACCACTCACCCATTGTGCAGGCGTACGAGTTGCGTCGCAGCGCATCGGCGTACTGCTCGGGCGGCTCATAGTCGGCCCGGTCCGGAGAGCTGGGACGACCGCCGTACTCCACCGGAGGCTCCAGAGGCGAGTCGCTCAGGAACGTGTCGTACCGGCGCCGACTCATGTCATCCTGTGGAAGGGTAAGCCACAGGTCAGAGGCGGATAGTGTCCTTTGGGGCGTATACGCCATTGGGTCGTGATTTTCACACGGTCCCCATATAATATCTATAAAGGGGGGGGGGCGGTCACGTGGCCTTATGTTTGATATCGCGTCGTTCAAGCATCATATTTAGCTACAATCAGGACGTTCATTGTATGCGTATAGAAAGAGTCACAATTTAAAATTAAAAAATAATAAATTAAACACCACGATAAGTCAGGAAAGCCATAAACTTAGAAACCAGGAAGTATCCAGTTCTTCGAAAGTTTCAACGATTGGCCGATACCACATTGAGCGTACGATGGCCGAGATTTATCGCCGTAGGCGGAATTACCTCGAAGTCGGCGACACTGTCTTCCCGGCTGTAGCTGCCGCCACTTTTGACAGAGACCGAGCTGACCGTCTCGTTGCCGTACATGTGGAGTGTCTCCGATTTGGTGCTCGCCTCGCTGGCTGCTGGAGACAACAAATGACCCGCTCAGACAGGGTACACTTCACTCGACGAGATACAATAAAAACCACATAGAGAGCGGCTACGACGTAGGAGACTTGGCAACTAACTCCAGACGTCACAAACATTCTGAAGGGAAGATAGAGTCAAGTTTCCTCACAAAAACTAAGTTGGACAATGTGTAAACAGAAGCAACTTAACCCTCGCCCTGGCAGGGGGGGGGGTCGATGCGACCCCCCCTCCTAAGGTTTTTAGGTTTTTCGAAGATAGCGTAAAAACGGCGGCGCGCAGCGCCGCCAAATTTGGCACAGCCTATGGGGCAACCTTTTTACATATGACCTGAAAATTTCAGGTCCGGGTGACCTTCGGTCAGGTCACCAGGTCAGAAAAACCGGTACAAGGTCATGGTCAAATTTCAATTTTCTTTTTGCACCTGTCCAGCTCACAGTTTTGCACTGATTTCCTTCAAACTTTCAGGATGTGCTACGTTCACCGAGTTGTATAACATATAGTTCGGGTTTTTTGAGGTCACTGACCTGAGGTCAGTTAGAGGTCATTACATCGTAATGTTAAGCCTATGGGAAAATACTAAATTCGGAAAATACTGGAGATATCCGCTTCGTTCTATCACTTTTGTGCTTTGAAACCACAGTACTTAACAGCAGGTCACTTGGTGCTTCTTTGTTTGGTGTACTTATCCATGGGTCAGGTCAAATGAGGTCAACTGAGGTCAAATGACGTTTTTGCCAATAACTTGGCACATAATGACGCTAGAGCTTAAAAAATGGTATCATTGTGTTCCTGGTGATCAGCCGAATCGAATGATATGCGATATGATGCAATTTGGTTAACTTTAACTTAATTTATTAATTTAACACGCGCAGTGGAAGGGTTGCGAGTACTACGCCCAGTGGAAGGGGGGGGGGCGGATGTCGCCCCCCCTAAGATCTCAGCTCCCACTGGAGCTAGAAAGACGAAATTTGGAGGGTAGGTGGGGGCCATGGGGAACTCTGTTGTGTGTGAATTTCATGACCCTAGGTCATTATCTTCAAGGTCAAATGAGGTCAAATGTGGTCAAATCTGCCATATTAGCGACTTTTTTGCGTTTACACGCCGATAACTCAAAAAGTTACCGGCCGATTTTTTTTTTTAAATCTTTCACTATACGAAAGAACCAACATTTGTGAGTATGTATGGTGAATTTCTAGATAATCCAACAATAAATATGGCAGTTAGAAGCCTGCTAAGGATAAGATGTCGCCGGCTGAAGCGGCATCGGCCGACGCGGGAAACGCGGCAATCACAATTTTGTGTTTACACACTCATAACTCAAGTTGTTACCGGCCGATTTTCAAAATTCTTTGACCATATGATTGCCCGTACATTTCTCAGTCTTCTCACCGAATTTGACGCGAATCTAATATAATCAGCGGTAAGGAGCGCGATGTAAAGACGGAACCGTCCCGCCCCGGCACAGTCTACAATTCAGGCGGCGCGTAACGGCTAGCGCCGGCCGCCGCGCCGCCGCGCCGCCGCGGCGGCAGGATGTTTGACTTTACACCGCTATTACCAGAAAAGTTGTGAACCGATTTTCTTACTTCTTGCACGAGAAGATCCGCAATTCAATTCTGGACAGGTAGCCGAAATTTCACATTGATATTATGCTTGCGGCGCGAGTTATTAGCGAAAAACAGGAGGGGTGGGCGAAATCCGCCCCCCCTTCCACTGCGCGTGTTAAGTTTACTTAAAATTTAAGAAAAACTTTAAGTACACTTCAGCAAGCTGAAAAGTATATCATTCGACGCGCCTTGACGTGCTGAGCTCACTGGTGCTTTTCTTTTTGCTCTATCTTAATTAGATCAAAAGTTATAAGCGAAAAACTTTTGACCTGTTTTTAGCGAAATTTTTACATTTATACCCCCCAAAACCCCCCTAAATATTGACCTAGAGCAACCAAATTTGCACAGGGGCGAGAACTCCAGGGGGCCCACCTACCTACCAAATTTGGTGTTTCTAGGTGCCATAGGAGCCAATCGCGAGGGGGGTCGCATCGACCCCCCCCCCCTGCCAGGCCGTGTTATGAAAAATGCCCTGCCAGGGCGAGGGTTAATAAGAGCTTTAACCCGCGCCGTGCTGGGGGGGGGGGCGTTTTTACGCCCCCCCCCCCTCAGGTTTTTCGCGAATATCTCAAAAACGGCGGCGCGCAGCGCCGCCGTTTTTGGTACACGTGTTCCTACATCATTTCCGCACATGTTGTGAAAATTTCAGACCTAGGCCGTTCAAGGTCAGGTCACCAGGTCACGTCAAGTGACCTTACCTCAGAAAAAGTTCAAAGGCTCGCTATAGCTACACCGACTGAACGATCACTTTGAAACTTTCAGCGATTGATATGAGTAACAGTATGTATAAAATGTATATCTCGGATTTTTGATATCTGTGACCTAAGGTCAGGTCAATTTTGCGACCTCTCCATTATAAGTCAATGGGAGAAAATTGAAATGCGCCTCTTTTGGACGAATATCGTTCAAAACGCTCTCAAACATCGGTTCATAGGTAAACATGACACACTGAATAGGAAAAATGCACCTGTGACCCCTCTGTGTGCCCCTGAGGTCATCTCAGGTCATGAACGGTCGCCAGCAGTTTTTTTGGCTATAACTTTTGATAGAGACGTGCTAGAGCGGTGAAAACACGTCAGATGTGTTCAGCTCGACGATACGGATCGACTGATATGCAACATGACCCTTTTCGGTCAGGTCATGACCTTGACCTGAGGTCAAATTTTCAAAATGACCTTTCAAGGTCAACAAATAGTTCATTCGACGCGTCTCGACGAGAGGAACACGATGCTGGCAAAAGTAATGTCATGGCGCTTATGAGTCAAAAGTTATTGACGAAAAAACGTTTTTCGTAAAAACGGCTATTTTTGGAGTTTTTGCCCTCTAGAGGCTAAACCGTTGACCTGAGGTCAAATCTGAGAACATTACTCAGAAAGGTCTGTAAAAGGGCTATCGAATGCGCTTTTCCGCGGCGCTGTAGCTCTATCGGTTCCCGAGATAGCCGTTGGCAGTTTCCAAAATGTTGAAATAGTCAACATTTTACCTTTGGTGACCTCTGGTGACCTGACCTTTGACCTGACCCAAAAAATGACCGAAGTGTTTTCGTCCTTATTTTTGACGCTCTTTCGATTGCCGCTTACCGCGTGTCGCTACGTGGCCCAGGAGCCGAGTTAGACGGGGGGGCGTGAAAACGCCCCCCCAGCACTCGGCGGAAAGTTCAGGCCACCAGCACGGCGCGGGTTAACATCAACAAATAACAACGCAAATGGGCAGACATGGTCGCTATCAGACAAAAACAAACTCACATGCAGACTCCAACATCTTTGGTTGCCTCGCCCTGCGCATGCGTCGTCGAATAAAGAAGACGACGAGCGTGACGTTGATGACGAGTAGCAGCGCTCCGACAGAGGAGACGGCGATGATGACGATCCAGGGCAGACGGGCCTCGTCAAACATGGCTGGCTGGGCCCCATCGGCGTCGCCTGCGACCGGTCACCGGGTCACACACACAGACACACAGACATGCGGCCACTCACCGGCCTTCTGCTTCTTGAGGTGCCGGCGCCGGCGGTAGCAGCCGATGAAGATGACATTTAGGATGAGCAGGAGGGCGCCGACGGCGGTGACGGAGATGACGGCCACGCGCGGGAAGGCGGCCGGTCCGCCCGGCTCGTCGCGGTCAGTGACGTAGCTGACGGGCGGCGGACCTGCTGGCCCCGCGGAAAACAGCCAACACCACAGATGTTAGAAGAGCAGCAGCATATTTACAGCTAGAGACCAATAAGCTCAAGAAAAGTTCGAAAAGAGGCAAGGAGCAGCCGTCACCATGGAAAAGAAGACCCGTTTACAACAAAGCATAAAGAACAAAGTCAGACACCAGAGCGCGTCCCGTGTTAGCGTCCCGTGTTAGACAGCACTTTATATGTATATCGGCCCCATGAGTGAACCAATATCTGTGAAAAGTAGGATACGACTGACGAAGCATCATACATGAGTTGGTCCGCAAAATTCCAATTCAGGGTGAAGACCACATTACGTGCAGCGTGGGTGTTATGCTGAAGGAAGGCTGTGGGTACTTATTGATTAGAGGCGCTTTTCAACCTCTCGGTGTTTGCTCAGGAAATAGTTGAACACGGCGAATGATTCAGTTTGAACAAATACATAACATGACTGCGTCCTACATAATTCAAGAGCAAACAAACAATTTTGACCGAGGCAAATGGAAAAGTTTGTACATCAACAACTTCTGTTTGCCAGACGTTGTATTCGGTTTGAAACCCATTCAGCGTTTATGTCAATCAATAGCTAATGCCGAGCTAAACATTCCAGTTACTCACTCGCTGTTTTCTTTGCCGTAACCTCCTGTGAGTAAGCGCTGCTGCCGAGAGTGTTGTAGGCCATAACGGAGAAGGTGTACCGCGTGCTGGCTCGGAGGCCGGTGACGGTAAACTGGGTACCGGAGGACGACGGCACTGGGTCGTAGTGGTACTCGGTACCCGGGGACTGCCGGTACCGCAGTTTGTACCTCTGCAACAGACACAACCGTGTTTCGTTCAGACATGGAACGCTGTCTGTAACCCCCGTCAGTAAACATACAGCTAAAACAGGCGCAGGAGACGTCTTTGGGTGGCAAGTGCGCATTTTTCGAGGGCGCCTTTGCTTGTCAAGTGCGCATAGTTTCGATGAAGTTATCATGACGATGCAGTTATTCGATGCAGTTATTCGATGAAGTTATTTCTATCAAACTATCACTGAATGGTCTTCTCTACTGAACCTGAAATATGTTATCGGTTGCAAAGGTGCAAATATTCATTGTCGGCTCCAAATGCTACAACAAAATGTGTGATGCTTACCTGCTCCTGTCCGCCGTCGAAGCCGGCTTCCCAGGCCACGGTGGCCGAGTCGTGGGACACGTTGACCACCTTCAGACCCAGCGGAGGGTCCGGTGCACTGGGACGGCCCAGCTCTATCTGCTGACGCTGAGAGCCCAGCTCGTTGAGGGCGACACACTCGTATGTGGCGTAGTCCGAGGGCTGCACGTCCTTGATACGGAGCACCGACTGCCACGTTACCAAGTCAATCTAGAAAGCAAAGGATTTTATTGTGAAAGCTGCACTTCCTATAGGAACGGATTAAAAATATGGTTGCGTTATGAACATTTATCGGTCCTGCATTTTGGAAGCGACATGTCTGGAACAACACTTCAGCATCGATTCACAGTCAAGCTCAAGCTGTTCCTTGTGTACCGTACCTGAGTGTCCTTCTGCTGGTACTTTTTGCCCGTCTCTGCCGTCAGGATAGCTGTTCCGTTGGTGCTCCATTCGAAAGTAACATTGGGCACACCTCGTGCGCGACACGGGACCTGTGCCGTGTCCCCCAGCTGAGCAGCCGCCCGACCGACCCGCCCGGCTCCTTCCAGCTCCACGGCGTCTGTAAAGAGTCGACAGTCGACACGACACACCGTCAGCTCGCCACCGAACGGTCAGGCAATCAAATCTGCCACTGAATAGTCCGAACGGACAAATCTGGCCTGCCACCGGCCAGTCTGATCCGTCACTGAACCGAGCCTTTAACGTCAAACGGATCAGACGGCGGGACTTCAAAGACCTTCTGAACCATACATCAATCACGAACTCTACATCAATTAGCTTGGCGACACAATAAACAAGCTTTTAGCGGAGACCATATAAGCTTTTGAGATTAGAATGCAAAGGAAACTGCACTAGTTGTATAGCTATTCAACATCACCCTATCCCATCATCCCCAGTGGGGGAGACCTCGCAACCCATGCAGCCCACTTACGTCTGACCAGGAGTGCCGTCCTCGCCTCCGTCTGTCCCAGTTCGTTGGCAGCACGACACTCGAACCGCCCGCTGTCCTCCTTGGTGACGTTGTACAGGGTGAGGTAGGAGGTGCCGTTGCGGCTGTGGATGTTGACCCGAGGCGAGCTGAAGTCGAATCCCTCCCGGTGCCAGGTGATGAGGTCTGGCGGGCTGGGGTTGGCACTGGCGGAGCAGGATAACACGCCGTCCACTCCGGGTGACACCACGGCGCTCTCCGAGACAGCGATCAGCTCCGGCTTGTCTGGGGACGAGAGTGTCGAGGGGTCAGTCAGCGCTTCAGAGAACGGATATACGAGCTACCGGTTCACTGAGTGCGGATAATGCCTAAGAAAGCCGGCATATGCTGAGCCATATGGGAAAAGGCTGAGTGAAGCCATTACAGGAAATGGTAAAGTTCACATTACGTTTTGCTTTACAGAAAATGTATTTTCGACCCAGTTAAAAATAATCGACGGCCGACAACGAGCTATGCCTAGCACCCAAACGATCTTATTTCAAATGACATAATGTCCCCGTCCTTATCACATGACCTCCAGACCGCCATCGCGCAGGCAGCGGCGGCACTCACACTGCACGTTGATGCTGACGCTGACGCTCGAGTTGCCCTCGCTGTTGATGGCCTCTAGGTAGTACAGCCCCGCGTCCTCCCGCGCCACGCGCACCACGTTCAGCACGGGTCCGTGGCCCATCACCCTAGTGCCATCTATGGTCGACACGCGGTACCAGTGGTACGAGATGTCACCGGGGTTGCCTCGGGCCGTAATGTTGATCCGCCGTGACTCCCCTTCCTCGATATCCTCGGTGTAAATCCGCTTCGGGAATGTGGGCGGATCTGCAATGATATTATGCAGTCATCATTATCTGTTTATTGATTTATCGCTAGCATGTCTTATCGTGTTATTGAAAATGGGAAACATGCGCGATGAGCATTCGTTAGGGAGCACAATCAGTGTTTATATTCCAAGGCAATATGAAATAAGTCAAGAGGAAGAACAGCAAATCAGAAGGAAAACAACAGTCACAAACATATTTACCCCTCAAAGAGGAGCGAGAACTTTCAAAATTTATCTTTTATTTAAAAAAAAATGGCTATAATAGTCATCGAGTGATGACGGAAAACGCTAACTTTGGCCGATATTTCGAACTAATCGACCATTGCGAGGTGCGCGGACTCACAGTGAACGTTGAGTGTGACCTGGTCCCGCACGTCGCCAGCCACGTCCCGGGTCTCTGAGCGACACTGGTAGACGGTTCCGTCGTCAGAGGTGGTCAGATTCCTCCGGAGCTGCACTCGGCTCGACGTCCTGTCGGCGGAAGATAGGCAGGCATGGCGGGATCAGACACAGAACAAGAACGTACTCTTCCCAAGAAAAAAGAATAAGTTCAGACGCAATGGTAAGTACCACCATGTAATAATGCATTTCGACTGTAACGGAATATAAACGCAATACAACAGTTTCAGCCCGAGTTGTCAACATTAAAGAGGTGACATCCTCACCCGCCCATGCTGCCGGCTTTGAAGGTCTCCAGTGCGGTGACCCCGTCGGTGACCTGGACGTTGTCTCGCCACCAGGTCAGCTCAGCCGCCGGGTACGACGGTCTCGATTCGCAGGTCAGCAGAGCCTGACTACCCGCCCGCAACACGTCCGGACGCACCTCCAGCTTCAGGCTCGACGGAGGGACTGGGAAAGGGAAAACAGATTAATTAACTTCAGAATCAAATAAATGTTGCCTAAACTGACGATGAAATTGGTAACGTATCACCAGGGTATTTGTCAACGACACTTCATACATGCGCACGATTTATTACCATAATTACACACGCAAACCGTTTCAAAATTCACCAAGGCTGATAGTTTTCCATTGGCAGTACTCACAAAAGACACTCAAGGTGACGCTGGCTGACTGCACGCCCGTTATGGCCGAGTTGGTGCTGTGGCAGGTGTAAGCGCGTCCGTTGTCGGCGTGGTCCACCTGGAACGTGACCACGCTCCTGGCCACGCTGTCGCGCACCTCTGTGCTCGAGGCCAGCTCCGTGTCGCCCCGGTACCAGGTGAGCGTGGCCGGCGGGTTGCCGCCCTGCGAGACGCACGAGAGAGACACCCGCTCTCCGGCCCGCAGGTGGGAGCCCGACTCGTAGCCCAGGATCGTCGGCGGCTCCGGAGGATCTGAAGCAAATATATGAAATCCATTGTGATAGCTTGTTGTGCTGCTTCGGGAGCTTAGCAGACGATTAAACACGGAACTTAATTACTAAATCAGTAGCTCAAATGTGTCAGTGAATGCACTGCTGTTCAACACCGTCAATAGCAGAACAGCACCGAGCATCACTGAGCATCTCCACTCCCTTTAGCAAATCAACACCTTCTCAGATATTCATACGCAGCTTCCATATACATTAGATGGCGACATTAACGCAGCCCTTCGCGGAAATTACAATCATTAACGTGGTAAGCTGCGGAACAGGCTGGCCGCAGCGACCGACGGCACAATTCGGGCGGCATGCCAGGGTGGGCGGGCCAGGGAGTGGGGCCAGGGCCGAGGAAGGCCGCACGTAGGAACGGATAAGATGGAATGGAGCACTGGACAGTGGACAGTCAGGCAGGCCAGGACGGCAGGCAAGTGAGGTGGACCGGGGATGGAGGAACAGTAAGTCGGGAAAATAGTGCGGACCAAATGGGAACGACAGTCGGGAAAATAAAGAGGGCCATAGGGGCGAACTAAAATTGTAGATCAGACCAAGGGACCAATGAGGCGGCTGGGGAGAAAGGTCACTGAAGCATGCCAGCGAGGTAGTTACTCCCAACTTACGCAGCACGGTGACTTTCTGAGCGCCCTGTTTGGTGACGCCCAGTCGAGGGTTCAGAGCATGGCACGAGACGAGCATGTCCTCCTGTAGGCCGGGCGGCACCATGGTGGACATGTTGGAGCGGGTGACCCAGCCGCTGCCGGCCGGACTCGGCGCGTGAGACTGACTCATCTGAGGACAGGCACAAACAGAAATACGGTCACAATGCGGAAACGCCAGTGGTACATTCCTTGTTCTTAGGGAAAATATGGTAAAGCGTGGCTAAGTAAGCTGATCTAATTCTAATGATGTTACAGGCACGTAAAAGTCACACATCTCCAATATGTCCCGGTCATAACTTAGCTAAAGATGCACGCCTTACGGCATATCCGTCTCAGGTGTCGGTCTGCCCCTCCATCCCGGAGTGACACGGACCGGTTTCTGCAGCCACATCGCCGCTTCTCGGGACGCCAGATCAGAGCAGTATTTGGGTAAGCGCAGCCGAGGGAGGCACAACCCGACTACCGCCGACCGTCCGGTGCCCAATAAATAATGTGGAATCTCAGCGGAGTGGTAAGTCGTGTTATACGGCTCGATTTAGGCATTATGCATGACTGCCGTGTAGTGATACCACGGCTAGGGGTCGATTACACACCAGTGCCGTGAGTCGGATGGCCCGAGCCGCAGTATTTATATGACAAGTAGAGAGAGGAGATGTTCTGTTATGCTTAGATTTGGATAAGGACAGTCTTTTTAACTGAAGCCAAGGGATATTAAATGAGTATTTTCTAAGATGAGAAGTTCGCTGATTATGCAATCTCGAGTTGACAGGGAAATTTAGAGCCAAGCCATGTCAAACATTTATCAAGTCTACGTAATCGGATGCGACCTGACCCACTTACCGACTTCACATGGCCAGGCAGAAACGCGGTTTTTGTTACTGATCTCATACCTAGTGTGCTTTCAACGCTAGCATACAAAAGCATGCACTTCATCCTGCATGCATCGCGGGATGAGCTGCACTACTGACTGTGGGCCATGTCATTTATCAGGGATAAATAGAGATTTGAGAGCGTCCACCGCCAAGGCGTCCCAAACTCCATACCTGACTCTACGCCGCGTTAGTCAGCTCAGGAGACATTCTTATCACAGACCTTAGGTATAATGGATATGGACTATGGACAAGGTTGTCGTTCATTCAACAAGTATATGCAAGCGAGTTATGGCTGCCGGTGATTGCATCATGTAAGAACTTACGTTCATCATGGTTCTGCCGTTGATGACCCAGGTGATGTTGGCGGGCGGGTTACTGCTGGATGTGATACAGGACATGTGCACTGTATCTCCACCTCTGGCTTCCTGTGTTCCCGACACTGTGACTCTCTCTGGACCGACTGAAATGAACGAGGAACAGACGGTCAGTCAACGCGCACAATATGTACAAACAGAACACCCACAGCCAGTGTGCGTTTGCATCTTTCAAAAGAGAAGGAACGTTTGAAATACCCCGGGCTCATCCAATGCAAGTTGTCCTCTATCCCTAACAAGAATAAGCCTCAAAATGCAGCTATGATATCGGTTCCAGATGTCAAATTGCATGCAAGTAAAAATGCAACGCATAAGCACATCTCGTTCCTTCGTGTGATCATACAACCGCATAGTTTTCGCACAATTCAACAGACACCACTGCTATAACGATAAGACGTATCACAAGCCGACATTGTCTCACTTACACTGCACGTTGAGCTGGGCGTGGGTGACCATCGGCGCCGGGTGCATCTTGGAGGAGGCCTCGCAGCGGAACTCTGCGCCGTGATCGTCGCGTTCGACGGTGAGCACCAGCTGGGCCATGGCGCGGCCGGCCTGCGCCCGGTACTGATAGGTCACTGGCTGGCCGTTACGGAACCACACGAGGTCAGCCGGAGGGTTACCTCCCACCGAGACGCACGTCAGGGTCTTCTGCTCACCGACCGAGACCCACTCGCCCTCAGTATGGTCGGTGATGGTAGGCGCTCCCGGGGCATCTGAAAACGGCAGGCCGCCGACGTAGAGCATGTGATACGGCGATGGTGGTAGCCGGACATGACAACGGGAATACACGAAGTCAAGAACCAAACGTGACAGATCGGTCTAAGTGAGGCTGCGTTGAAGAGAGTCGCAGTCTCGACAGTGGCGAATGCGATAGACGGAGCACGAAGCAACTGATTGACTGAAATCAAGGAGAATGTTGCACCCAGACCAGTTTAGCAAACATGTATGTTTTCAATGTCAAATACGTACATAGGACGGATAAGATTATTGTCGAGTTGAAGTACTGTTGATCTTCCGGCGCTATGGCCGGGTGCTGGGCCACACAGGAGATACCGGCTCCGTCGTCGGCTGCCGTGGGTCGCAGGGTCACCACAGAGGTCGTATCGTTACGGCCCGGGTGGCCCCAGCCAGAAAACGAGTCCCTTCGCGCTGGAAATGAAAGAAGGCAGGGTTACGTCACATTCACTTCACGCTTTCCTAATATTACTTTTTTATTGCACCTGAATGTAGGTACACAACCAATAAAGTCATGCCCATGAGCATTGAGTTATCTGCCCTATCTTGTGCAAAACTGATCAAGGCTTCGTTACCCGGCAGCTTATAAGCTAAGTGGGACTTGGAGGATGACAAAGAACTGCTCGTCACTGCTCACCTGGCTGGATGGGGATGCCGTCTCTCTCCCAGCGCACCTGGGCAGCCGGCCGAGCACCGATGACGTCACAGGTCAAGGTCACCTCACCGCCGACCCGGGTCTCGTACTGACCCGGCCTCGGCGACCGAGCAGAAGAGCTGACCCGTACCGCCCTCGGCTTCACTGGAATACGAGCACCAGAGGCATGCGTCAGTAATTCAATTTTGTGATCAGGCAGCAATACCTATAGATGGGCCTCATTATGAAAGGACTGTTATTTTAAATTTAGTTAAATGCAGTACTTTAGTAGAAATATGCTTAGCTACACTGAAAACTTTTTTACCATTTCCTGAAGGGTAAACCCGCCATAGCATGGTAGCTTGACACACAGACGTTTTTTACCACCTTCCAGATGGTAAATTTTACTCTTTCATGAAGAGTAAACTCGCCAGGGAGGGGTAACATGACACACAGACGTTTTTTACCTTCTTCTGAATGGTTAACTCTTTTGATTGACTCTTGTCTAGAGTGTAACATTTTTTGGGTTACACTCTTTGAAAGGGTAAATCTTTAACGGAACCCTTTTTTAGGGAGTAACGCATCATCTACTCTGTGCTTTACCCTCCTACAGAGAGTATATTCTTATGTCCTACCCTTTGTCACATGGTAATGTTTACTCTTTCCTTTAGTGTAAACCCCCCAGAGGATGGTAACAGACCCACAGACGCTTCCTTCAGAAGCTTCACGAAGCTTCTGTTAACCGGAGCTCACCAACTAAAAAAAAATGTTTCAAGAGCAACAATGTAGGTGTATTTGGCTTCCGTACAAACAATACGAGGGGCACACCAACCATGAACATTGTGAGACTCTTCACTTATTCATACAAATTTATACAAAGCGTTCAGCAATGCACAAGCGGTAAATAAACACCACGATACAACTTGAATGCAATTTGAATATGAATACAAGACATTCAGCGCCCTCATATTGGATTAGGCAGAGCGCACAATATTTGAAGTGAGCGACGGCGTTCCTGGGTGGTCGCCCGTCTGCGTGAGATAATGAGACTGGATCACTACAGTGCAAGGCTTTTTCAAAGTCACCAACAAAATGCATAAACTTGTAGCATCACAACAAAATTAATGTACGTACTCACAACACTAGGCCACGTGGCCGTGCACGGGGTCCTGTTAACCAGATCAAATTAGCACCACTCAACGGCACGCAATGCTCTAGCACATCGGTACTTACAATAAAATGTCCACAGAGGCTCTATAGGCGATGCACAACACACAAGCACAATCACCAACGGCCACGCCGCGCGGCACCGACACTGCTCACATCCGCTCTCGGAGACCAACGGCCGAAACGGCCGAAAACTGACAGATGCGCGCGGCCTTCAAACCGCAAACGGCCGATCTCGTTTCTGATTGGCTGATTGTTTCCATTTCAAATATCATCTTCACGAGGGTAAACAAGATCCACGCATGAAACGACTATCTGTACCCGAGTCATGATACCCAGGAGGAAAGAGTTTTCGTGATGTTCTGGATCGCGAGAGTAATATTGATATTTACATGGTAATGATACTCTTCGCTGGCGAATAAGCTCATATTAACCACGTACCGTTACTATGCACATAATGGTAGCAGCGAGTTACCCTTTCAATATACTATTATCTTGCGGGTTTGATGAAAATGAACTCTCCAGGAGGTAGTAAAAAAGTTTTGAGTGTATTGAGCAAAAGGTTGATGCATGCCGTGCATGGTGTACAATTTTTCAAAACGAATATGTCCAGAATAGCATCAACCCAATGCGTCTTTAGTATCCAAGAAGAAAGCATAAAAGATTAAGCTAGGACATTACAATGCAACACAAGTAAAAGTTGCGACATATCAGGTGATCATGGTCACTGAACAGTGGACATCCACACCTGAGCACCTCGAATTCTATCGATGCATGGAAATAAGCAAACATTCACGTTGGAATAAATGATGCAAGTACATCTTGATTTCAGAGACGTCCGTCTCCCATGGGCCTTGCTAACCTGAAAACCCTTTTACCAATTTGTTCGTCGCGCCGAAAGGTTCACCGTCGTGATCTAATTTCATGGCCTTGTAACAGGCGTTTGAGAAATGATGCAGCTCGGTTTACCTGCAGCGATCTATCTGAGTTTAGCCTACCTCTGCCCTGTGTGCAGCTGTGTCCAATGCCACGGTACGTGCCGGAGCAAACGTGGCACGTGTCTGACTGATACCTATACGTGGCACGTAGTCTGACGCAGATGGGACTAAAGCTTACTTGATTTACATTGTCAGAAAACTGGCAAATGCGGCTGAATGTATAGATACTAGATCAGTGATACTAGATACTAGATCACTATCTCACCCTGGTTGGTGAGATAGTGATAACGAACACCAACCAGGGAAAATTAACTAACTTCTCGAATATTTGCTATGCGTTTCACAATGCTTCAAAATGCTGACAAGTTTGGCTATCTCTAGCATGACCAACTGATTCTAGGATTATCATTTGTGGGAATATTATGGCCTATACCTACTTAGCTGTACGCTGCTGGTAAAACGTACTCAGATCTACCAGCTGCAGCGTTCCTGGTAAAGTCCGATGCACGACAAGTTATGCGTCCGACAAACTTGGGGCGAACTTGAAAGCACTTAGACCCTCGTAATTTGTGACGAGAGATTAGGTGTCAGGTAGGCGGCACGTCAAAGATTAAAGTTCTCGGAACATCGAACGGTACGGCCCTGACGTTGGGTAAATCTGCATCATCCCGTTCCCGAGTATACTGCAATGCCATCATATGCTGCCCCTACCCCAGTTGTTTTTATCGTTGATACCGTTTTCGTTACATTACTGAAGACGGTTCCGCTAGTTTTGTTGAACGCTAATAATGGTTTTGGCGACTTTGAAAATACAATATTGTATCGAAAGAAGAAACGCAATGAACTGCTTTCTTTTCCCGTTAGCTCATCAATCGTGTTGAACCATCCAACAGTCACCAAATCACCATAAAAGACCCCAACTCCGAGTATCAGTCCGACTATTTTCGAGAGCCAGCGTCCAAGCACAACATGCAGCCCAGCTGAAGGGTACAAATGGCCAACGGGCGAATAATTGGCGAATCCAATTCCCACTGGACACATGTCAGCCTTTATGTAAGCGGCTGCTGATGGCTTCATGGAAGATTCACGATGTGATCTATCAGACTCCGGTGTCGTCCACTATTCGGGTGGCTCGTTCCGCATTCGGTGATATATTTTCCTGATGCATAAATAGAAACGTCCGGCCCGGCGCGCTGCTCTTACCAGATATAACTGACGGCGAGTGATGGCGGCGCGGAGGTGGTCGAGCGAGGAAGGGGAGAGCGGCAGAGGGCTGACGGGAGAGGTGGAGCTGCGGCGAAGGAAGGAGCCTCGGATGAAACACAACTCATAAAATCAATAAAAAATCATAGAGCATGACGGTACGATGAATAAAACATGGATGGCGCGACTACTTTCTGAGAAGGAACCCAATATGGCGAGAGTAAATGGACAATCTTACCTAGAACGGTGAGTATGGCGTCAGCTCGGATGGCGTCCTGACCCCGATTCGGCGACACCTGACACTGGAACCGACCGTCGTCCTCCAGGGTCACGTTGGTGACCTCCAGGTCATGCACTCCTGACCCCGGGTCACCCAGCATTCGGTACCGATCGTAACCGGGAAGTGACCGAGAGTAACCTGTAAAAAGCATTGAAAGGGATAAGTTCCAGTCGAGTTTTCGTTGCTACATTATAGCTAGAGCTGTTGTTTTCGTCTCACAGTAAGCACACTTCCAACCAAATGCAGTTGGGAAGTCATTGAAACTTGAATGACTTCAGTCGCTTCTGGGAAACACCAAAGACAAACTAAATAGGTAAAAATCAACAGTCACAGAAATAGAAGTTGCTTGTGTCACGTCTTGCACGATCTTCCAACAGGATTGTGTTGTCACTATTCTTTAGTGACTTGGCCTACACTTCCTTGATAAGGAAAGCATGGTCCAAGAGCTTGTATGGAAGTTGAGATTGTGTTATATTGGGCCTTGGTGCCCTAGCTGAGTGGATGCCTCGTTTATGGACCTAGAGTCTGCCAATAAAGGGATCTCTCTCTCTCTCTCTCTCTCTCTCTCTCTCTCTCTCTCTCTCTCTCTCTCTCTCTCTCTCTCTCTCTCTCTCTCTCTCTCTCTCTCTCTCTCTCTCTCTCTCTCTCTCTCTCTCTCTCTCTCTCTCTCTCTCTCTCTCTCTCTCTCTCTCTCGCTCTCTCTCTCTCTCTCGCTCTCGCTCTCTCTCTCTCTCTCTCTCTCTCTCTCTCTCTCTCTCTCTCTCTCTCTCTCTCTCTCTCTCTCTCTCTCTCTCTCTCTCTCTCTCTCTCTCTCTCTAAACTAAACTAAAGCTAATCCCTCAGATATGACATTATTTAGCACCGCGACGGACAATAACACCCAGAAACAGGCACGGTGGGGAATGAACTCACTGATCCTATCATGCTTTTCAATATTGGACGAATGCAGCCCCGGCACTATTGGCGATTTCCCTCATTGCATCACATTCGGTCAGATTTACGGCGGTATGCAGCGCTCGTTGCATCCTGCCACCGTAACTGATGACAGTCGGGTGGCACGATCGTGGCGCGCTGCGTTCGCGTCCTTCCCAAAACAGAGTCCTCAGCTCACCCAAACACAGCGGCCTCGAGAGAGTCGCCGCCGTGAATGCTAAAAAATCGTGCCTCCTGGAGAGGTTTCAGCGGCCATAATTTAGCCTATATGGGCCCATGTATCACTGATAGGCTGATGGCCGGCTGCCACCGGCAGCGGCGGGCCCGTATCGCCGTCGGGGCCGCACTCCAAACGACGCGCATCGATCGGACGGGCACACAGGACCGCAACCTGGCCCGAGGACCCCGGCCCGCCTCCGCCGCAAGAGCCGACGTCATACGTCTACACAATGTGCAGAAGGAGCAGATATGTTGGAGGTGGCCGTGGCATTCGGATTACTGCCAAGATACCGCAGACGGCAAGTACGGGAACAGATACGACGGCACAGCCCGGTCCAGTTATATCGAGCTGAGATAGGTAATTAACTGCACAGAAGCTTGGCCACAATAATGAGACCACAGTTAACCCTCGCCGGACCTACTGGTTTTCTACATACGCGCCGGCCGAGGGGGGGGGGCGGGTACGACCCCCCTCGCCGTTTCGCCCCTGGTGGAGCTAGCGCGTCGCGGAAAAAACGAGCGTGTGCGCCGTTACGAGACGCAGAGATTGGTACCCGATTTTAAGGTCCTAGGTCAACCGGTGACCTCTGAGGTCAGGTCAAGTGCCCAAGGGTACGGTTCAGTTTTAGGTGAATAACTTCGCAAAAAACGGCCGCAGAGCCGCGATTTTGGCAGCATCGTGCTCGCCTCGCTCAGGCGCGTCGAATGATATACTTTTTGTTCGGGTCAGGTCAACTTGGGGTGTTGACCTCAGGTCAAGGTCAGGTCAGCACCCCCAGGTCACGAAGTTGGTCGAAAGAGGTCATGTCGCATATCATTCGATTCGGCAGGTCTTCCTGAGTCCATTGGTGGCTTCCCCGACTCGCTAGCTCAATTTGATCAAGAGTTATTGACGAAAAACTAATGTGACCTTGATGACGTCATAAATGACGTCACGCAAGGTCAACATTGCAAAAGTGACGCATCTAACCTTGCAAGGAGTGCATCAAATCACGATTCTGTGTGCTCGAGATAGTTGGAGATCGTTCCCGGCGCCAGAATAGCAGTTTGAATTTTTCCCCATTGACTTATAATGGTGAGGTCACGAAAATGACCTGACCTCATATGACCTTTAGGACAAATCCGAGATATACAAGTCGTGAGACTCATAATGGATACTAGATCCTGCAAGTTTCATTTCCCTGTCACATCTCCTCTGGCAGTGAGGGCGTTGCGAAGTTGCGACATCTGAAGACCGTGCAGAGGTTCACTTATGACGTCATAGGTCAGTGACATGACCTGACCCAAAAATGCGGTTGGTGTCAAAAGATCCGGCTTGAATCAAAGGTCAGGTATGCCAAGTTTCAGCTCTCTATCGCCAGCGTGTTCGGAGCTATCGCGAAAAAAACCTATGGGGGGCGGTACCCGCCCCCTCCCCCCCTCGGCCGGCGAGGGTTAAGTTGAAAGTATTAATTTGGTTCAAAATAATGATGTAGATAACCTAGTTATTTAAAGCTAAATATCTTATGACGAGAGCGGTTGGCATTTTTGGTATGCAGTGTTATTCATTGAAAACCGATCGGAGCGTTTGAGTCTTTAATTTAGTCAGGGCTGCGGAGTCGGAGTCGGAGTCGGAGTCGGAGTCGGTCGGAGTCGACAGTTGTGACCGGAGTCGGAGTCGGAGTCGATTTTAGAAACTCGAGCCGGAGTCGGAGTCGGAGTCACCGAAAATCTGTCGACTCCGCAGCCCTGCTAGGTCTGCGGAGTCGGAGTCGGAGTCGGAGCTGGTTTTTGAAAGCCGAAGTCGGAGTCGGAGTCGGAGTCGCCGAAAATCCATCGACTCCGCAGCCCTGAGTGGTCGCCGCTTACTAATCATGCGGCATACACGCCGCACATAATCGCCAATGCCGCAACGCAGCTTAAGGCGTGAGCAGTGAGACGTTCAGCGATAAGAAGAAATGCGTCGCGCATGCGAGGGACTGGCGCATCACAGCCTAAGGAAACATCAGAATGTCACACCTCAACCAGCAGCTCTCCATTTCAATATCTAAAAATTGACATAGAGGCCATTGCTAGCAAGGACCGGTTTCCGTGCATTGTCATAATTCGCTTTCTGCAGCTGAGCTTCTTCCTGCAGAAACAAATACCGGAAGCTGCGTGGCGGCTAGACTGCGTCGCCTGAACCACGACCTTTGACTCGTGGGAGCTCGTCACTCGTCACAACTTTTGGAGAGGGCGGATCTGGCCGTCGCTCCAGAGCGGTGCGTCGTCTCCGACGCTCTCCGCCGCCGACACCGCCGGAAGGAAGGGTGAACAAGGAAGCGTGGGGCGTGGGCTGTCCCCGGAAGGGTGCGCTGTCTCGGCTCACCGACCCCGCCACGTGGGCTACCACAGGGGCTGTCGCAGCTCTGGGAAGTCATATATGACTATAGTCATATATGACGTCGCATTATATCAACTATAGTTGATATAACGCGACGAGGCACATCGTCGACCTTCGCAGCCCTAAAATACCAACAGGCAGCTACATCTATTCGTCTTTGCAGCTTGCAGGCATGAACGTGGGTATAATGCAGATAGATACTGGCCTTACCGAGAGCGAATCCATCCTTGGCCCACTGGAGCTGCCCGACTTGGTGTTGCACTTCACACCGTAAGATGGCGCTGTCTCCTTCCACCACGCTCACGTTGGACGGACGGACACGGAACCGCTGCTGCTGACAACAAACTGCAAACACAGAGAGAAAGAAAATTGACGAATAAACCCACAAATATAATGGCAACAAGTAAAGCAGGGCACACCACAAAGTCAATAGGTGATTTTAAGATTTCGGCAGCCTATCATATAGATCCACCTTAGTTGGCACAGCAGTTCGGTTCGGTTTGACTGCGTCTCACTGTTTAGATGCGTCGATTCAGAGCGCCGACAAGCGTTGCGAAGCAATATTTCAGAAATAAAAAAGAAGGTATATATAATAGCAACGACATCATAAGCGTGCAATACGAACATCAAATGGTGAAATGCAAGATTTGCTGACTCCACAAAAGCTAATAGTTAGGCCATACAAAACTGCACTTAAGTGCAAATTTTATAACAGTGTTTGAATGGTCCGAACTAAGGAAAATCGACTGGGAAAAAACAGTGGCTAAGGAAAACAACTTGAAGAGAACAAGCGATAGACGTGGTTTGTCCATCAGATTTCAACTATTGCAGCCCGCAGCTTGAAGCTTCCCAATTAAGAGTTTTCGACAAATATTGCATCATATCGTCATCGCACGCTACTGATAAATTGAAACTCAAAGGTCTAGTCAATACATGGTTCTAATTAGAGAATAATGAAAGTAATAAAAATGTGCATGACGACATGGCAACTGCGAGAATTATCTAGGTCGTGTAAGCGGTATACCGCGGAGCACTTTATATCAGCTTTGAACAATGTCCGACAGCCCACAGTGCCAGCGGCCTTAGGCGACCTTTCTGGTGCGCTCTGGTGCACATAGACGGTCACGGACCGAGTCTTACAGACAGATCGACACAAACCAACACGGGCTGACACGGGCTGACACGGGTGTGTCTCAGCTGCTGCAGGGCCGGACACAATGACCGGCAGTGCGGTGGCTGCGCCGCCGGCACCGCGCACTACCCGACAATGGAGCTGCGGCGGCTGACGGCGGCGGCCAAACGCCTAACGAGACATCGCCGGAGGGGGAGACACCTGCGACCGGCGCTGGCTGGAGGGGAGACGCTCACCGAGCTCACCGAGAGTGTGGGTGAGAACGGGCTGGTGGGTGAGAACGTGAGGGAGAGGGAGCATGCACGAAGGAACACACAGGACAGGTAGATGCGGGTGAGCACGTACCTTTTGAGTGAGCACGGGTATAGTGTGGGTGGGCACGGGCCGTGACCATGCCAGTGAGCACGGCAAGTGGGCGGGCACGGGCCGTGCGCGTGATCACGAGCCGTGTGAGCTGTCACGGGCCGTGAGGACCGGCACGGGCGCAGCTGCAGTCACCGAGCCAAGCCGTCGGAGCCGACTTCTGGGAACCACTACAGATCAAGTGCATCTCGTTTCGTGGAATGGCGTCACGTGGCTTTGTCTCACGGGCTTGGCGAGATTAAATTGAGGGATTGTCTGGAATCACTCACCGGTGTGGCCCATTTCACGCCGTAAGGTAGGGCATTGATCTGCCAACACCTATCTGAATGATCCGCCGACTGGCTCCGAACGCAATCTAATTATGTTAAGGGTGTATTTCAAACACTAAAACGTGGAAATTTTACGTGCCACAAGAACGGAAAAATTTACCGAATGGAAATGAGGCTTGACAGACACAGTTTGTCGTGAAATAAGCTTACGAGTAGACAGGAATTGAGCCACATATGGCTCATCCGTCGTTAGCTTCACGTCACTGTCATCAGCGCGTGTAAATAACATGTGGGCGGTAAAACAGCACGCGAGGGTCCTTATGTCAGTCCCTATATTCTGCAAGGAGTCTGATCCGTGTAAGCCCTGCCGCAGTGACTAAATAAGCGGTAGAATAAGTCATCATTCGGACAATGAGCTGTGTGTCGGTGCATCGCCGTGCCACGACCATTTGAGAACTGCCCAGGCAAGTTTTTTCTTCTCCAGTGACCCTGCTCTGCACTGTGCAAACTGCATAGATACAGAGCTACCCAGACTTATCAAGCCGTGGTGGTTGTATGGCCAACTCCCGGCTCTCTGAACTGCACTGAAACCTCCAGCTCGAAAATGTCAGCTTTTGATCTTCTACCAGAGGAAATTCTCATTTGTGGATCCAATCAGGATTTGACATAGGAATTACCCATCAGCACGGTGATATTAGGGAGCATATTTAGCAGTATGGGTGTACCACACGGCGTTGACTGCCGGAATTCTATGCTATGAAAAAATACCAAACGCCTTTCTTTCGTGGTAGACACACAAACTGTGCGAAACCATGCATTATTCAGAAATCGACATTTTATGTTGGTAGCCATTCTCGGCAGTCTTTGCTCCTTAGTCCTCAGTAATGAAGGCGCCACCTCAGAAGGGTGGCGAAACAGTAGAGCCGATATTGTTAGACCGATGATCGGCAGGATTCAACGGCGCAAAATTCATGAATCTGAGAAGGTAAGGAAAGGTATTTAAGGCATTGGCTACAAGGACAATGAATGACAGCCAACGTTATGGGCTCGATACAGTGCGAATGGTCTGAGGTTGTCACAGAGCGGACCTCCTATCGTCCGTTTCTGACACCTCCGTCCTTCTCTGTCCATCGTAAACGTCTTCCGTCCCATCGTCACTCGCCCCGAAGCGACTTCCATCCGTGTGAAAGAGATAACGACGAAAACAATGGCGGCGCCATCCGCAGCGATCGCGTCTGTCCGTTCTCGGGGCAGCTGCGTCCTCTGGTCGACGCTAGTTCGTCAATCTCGCCTTCCGTCCCGCTCCAAAGAAACGGCCGCTGCCGGACGGCGGCGGCAGCTGGGGCCGGCAGCGACCGACTGACCGGGGCACCGAGGGGGCGGGGGGGGGGGCAGACGGGGGCAGCTGGAGCGGACCGGTGCTGCAGGTTTGGCCAGGTGCAGCCCGGCAGTCACAACCCGTCCGACCACTCTGAGAGACGGAGATGGCCTGTCTGATGGCTGCAGCCGGGTGCACATCTATACGATTGTCGTCTGTCGTTCGTCGCCGGCTGTACGATCGCTGTTCATCAGTTGTGCAATGTAAATGCTGCTGTAAGTGTCTGATTCAGTCATTCGATAGGTTGTAGCTTGTAATTACTGCTCTTCGTATTCGTTAAGCGATTGGAGTCTTTTCGCGGAGTTTGGACGACCTTCGGTTTACGCTAGGCCCAGGGAACACCGTTTCGATGGAGCATATCAAATACAACACAGCTTGAACAGTTGATATTGCAGGGACGTAGCCAAGGGGAGGGGGCGGGGGCCATGCCCCCTTGAAGGCAAAAAATAAAATAAAATTTAATAAAAATTAAAGTAAATAACAACAGCTGCACCACACCCCCCAAAAATAGTTGGCCAAATCCGAGGAGTTTTCCTTTTTGGAGAGGTTACGACACTAAGCCGCGACCTGTGGCCCCTCCCTGAGCAAAATCCTGGCTACGTGCCTGTTATATTGATTTATGTATTGTTTATCATCAATTCCCTTGCGTGAATTTCGATACCGATTTCAGATATAACGTACCAGGCCTACTTCTACATTGGTCAGTACAAATACTATGGCGCTGGGACCTACCCTAAATTTTCTTTTGGCTGCACTCACTCCTTGTCGCCTTTCAACTGTGGTTTGTCAAACCATTTGTCATTAAAACTTCTTTTCATTATCGCTGTCCGGCTTGTTGGCCGCAGTTTTTCGTCCCGCCTGCGTCCAGTCGTCCTCTGTTGTCGACTAATGTACCATCCCTATCAGCTGGGTGTCGGCCGGGCGGACGGCCAGTCCAACAGCGCCAAATTCGGCCCGATTCCATCTGCAGTTGGCCCAAAGTTTTTCACACCCGCCCGCAGACTGACGTTGTGTAATTGATAAACGCGATCCATTTTATGCCACAATGTTCTGCCGGTTTTGCGGAAGACGCACCTCCGGGCAAACGTAAGGATTTTCCATTAAAAGGGTTTCTAAAGCCTCCATTTAAATAAAAGCTTTCGAGCACAAAGCGTAGGATGAGCGGTGCCTTCTCAATCCTGAAATCCGACAAGTTAATGCACTGAGATCGCTGGAATAGAGTAGGTCTTAAGTCAAAGCACGACATAATGGCTTTCTATTTATAGACTACAAGTGGTTGCTTGAGGCATTGGGGTCTTTGCGGCTCTAATTCCTTTACGTAGGTACCTTAATGCCGTTAGCTGGATAAGCAATGACCGAAATCCTTTCTGTCTACCGTCATTATGCTGGTATTGTGGTGCAGCTATTATTCACACACGAATGCAAAAGTGACAGTGCGGTACACACAATTACAAGACAAATGTGTTTCAGTGTCATTATGCCCATTCGCTATGCGATGTGTTTCTTGCGATTGCGATAATGTGTCGTAAGATTATGAGGAAAATATCATACGTTGTTCTTATATCATACGTTGTATTACTTTAGCCACACAGGCAAAAAATGAAGAATATATAGAACTTGTCTGCCCGAAACGACGAATATTTGAATGAGCTGCCAATGCCGATAAATTGCAATGCTACAAGCTAAATCAGATAGTTAAAACTGAATCAACAAGACTGTAACGGCCATTCAAATCAATTTCTACAGATAAACCGCCATTCTACTAGGTGTCGCTATATTGTACTTAAAACCTGAAACAAACAATAGTATCAACAAAAAATAATACACATGGACACACGAACAACACAAAGACCAATCATTTCAAAGCATTGCATACATTAATCAATTATCAATGGACAATAATCTTACTTTTGTGGGATCTGACGTCCCAGTATCACAATCGTACGTATCAATGGCCACGCTTCACCGCGTGCCACGCCCTGTTCAAGGTTCTATTAATTGGAGGCGGCAAATTGGGGAAAAGAAAACATCGCTGCCCAATGACCTCTGGGCGGCGGTTACACTCCCACCAATCGGTCACGATTCTATAACAAGACAGTCCACATTTGCGCAACACGACCGCGGAGCGCAACCATCCTGCGCCACACGACCGACGACGGTAAAGATGGTGGCAAACTGAAATCATCTTACATCACGGG